GTTTCTCTGCGGATTTGGGCTCCTCTCAACACACATGCCTTTCACAAGTTTCTCTGCGGATTTGGGCTCCTCTCAGTGAGCGCACTCCCAACCCCATCTTCAAAAAAATAAAATAAAAAATTCTGGGACGTTTTTTGGCTCGTCTGGTTTTGCCGTTCGGACCCCCCCCAGTCTGTCTGGCCCGGTCCGTCAGGCCCGGCCCATCTGGACCGGGCGTTGGCCTAACCCAGTATAATTGGCATTTTAGCTAGGAGTTGCTTTCTTTTTACTAGCCGAGCGCAAAGTAATGGCTTCTATGCACTGTAGAAACGGTCTGAATGTGGGCAGGGTTGCTCGGGTTATCACAGTCCATAATCGATCTTCAATGAGCTTTTGCATCTCGAAACTTTTGTGTTCTTACATACTGGTTCTGCATCCTTTCCGGATGTGAAATGTCGGCGCTATAACCAGTACATTATTTAAATGCAGTTGGCATGCTGCTGTAGGGAAGAAGTGATAGCCCAGGCTTTGCAGAGAAAGGCATAGAGCTGGCTCAACGGAGATAGAAAGACCTGGTTTCATTGAATCACAGACATGTAGATAGCTACCCATCATGGTTGAATACCTGCCTACCGCCGACCCCGATGGCCGACTGTTTTGGAGAGGACCAGTAGGGCCGACCGGTCCGCGGTCTGCCGAGCAGTCAGAAAACAGCCATCCACTGATTTGTTTTCAGATCTGAGTTGGAAGCTGTACACCTGTCTCTTATACACATCTAGATGTGTATAAGAGACAGCAATCAATCAATCAATCGATGAAAAAAATCATGCAAAAAAAAAAAAAAACTTTTTTGCCGGGTGCTGACGACCCCCGACCGGTAGTGCCAACCAGCCGACCTCAAGGTACTATCTGTCTCTTATACACATCTAGATGTGTATAAGAGACAGGTTACTGCCAACCAGCCGACCTCAAGGTACTATTTCTTTTCTTTCAGCTAGGATGTATCAGTGGTTTAAGATAGGAAAGGGTTGAACAGTGCACCTTTTGGATAATATGCCATCTAAATTTGACACTCACCTCATAAGTTTCATGAGCTTGTGGAGAAACCCCACATGCTAGACAACACGACCTACAGGTCAAGAGTGGATGCAAAGGAATAGATTCACCCTCACCTCGTTCTTAAGCTTCATTTCCATCTCTTCCTTTATAATCTGTAGCTGCCGGAGTTGTGCCCTGTGGTGATCCCATTTCAAGAACATTCCAAAAATAGACAGTAGGGAAAGATGGTTAGTGCATAATCTTAAATCCGAATCCAGGCAGCACTTTCTCTTCTGAAGGGATAATGAGGACATCTACACTACTCACCAGGTGTGCCGAACGGTGTGTATCTTCACCTATAGGCTGGAATACAATCGCCATTTTCCTCGTCTTCTCATGGTCGGTTACAGCTTCGGCACTCAAAAACGTTGCTGTTTGCTGGAACGAAGGGTGAAGAAAAGACACAGCAGCACCTATTTAAGCAAGGACTCAACCTAAACTCTTCAGTTCCTTCACTACCGTCTTCTCCCCCAAATGGAACATACATTCATAACTGCTATACCTGGACTGAAAGTTGCCCCTGATACCGCTACATCGGCCAGACGTTCTACTCATGGGAAGATAGTAGTAAGTACTGTAACGTACCTGAGCTGCCAAATCACACATGCATTTCCTTTTTTAGAATTATGCTCAAGGGAACGCTGGACCCGTTTTCCAGCGAAGCCAAAGCTGGGTAGTGCCCCCCGTACACCGGGTTGAGATGTGGAGGGATTCCCAGCCTCCTTTTGCAATTGATAATATATAAGCATAATTAAAAAAAAAAAAAGGGATAATAAACAGCAGTACCAACGGGCCTAGCTCAGTTGGTACACCTAGGAACTGTTGAAATACACCCTCGAGTTGGAATCCAGATGCTTAGGAGAAAAAAGGATAATAAACAGCAGGCAGGAATAGGAGGAGATGTGAAGCAGACAACAACTCACTCTTCTTCAGCAATTACAGCATTTGCAAAAGCCATCGAGTCAGACAGATCGGAGGGTACCTGCACCAAAGAAGAGTGCAAATTCCAAATTCTACGTCAGGCAACAGACAGATCGACACGATTAGCCGTGACGAAACACAGAAAGCCGAGTCGTTTAACACACTCAGGGAAACAAAACCATACCTTGAATTACCACTTCGGGAGCTGCAGCTCCACGATCTTCTTCTTTGATAACTCATCATGTGCTATGCTGGACTGAAGGCCTGTCCAATACACCCTCTGGACCATTTGGCAGTTCCACAGACTGCAATATTTTGGACCTCTTGACCCAAGGGAGCAGTTGAAACGACAAAAACCTCTCGTCCTCAACCCACAGCCAACAACCACCTTACTTAATATCCAGGGCTCACAGACCAACGTATCTGATTGGCTACTCTGTGCACAGAGCTCAAGAAAGTCGTTCAGCGTTCTTTGCAGCAATTTCTGCCCATACCCAGCAGGCTAGCCAACGACCCTTTGCCCTCATACCTACTACCCTCACCGTCTGGGTCGCCGTTTTGGGAGGCTGGCTTGCCATCACTCCGATGTTTTCAGGCTCATGCTGATGACGTCCACAATGTGTCAGTTAACATGACCTGAAAATGACCTCCGTCTGTGCCGTGATGTTCAGGTGTCTGATATTCATACTGTCTTCTCAGTAGTTCCTTGTTCTTTCTCCTCAGTTGCTCCAGACGTTTACAGCTCCAATCGATGGAGACCACAGCACAATGAGTAGGCCAACATCAACCCGAAGTGATATGTAAACACACTGTCATGTCAATGCATCTGATTAATCTAGCAAAATATCTGCCACTTATTCTATCTCCTCACTCAAATGTATGTGTTTGCTACCCAGACCATGGCTGACACTCTTGTGCCTCATGAACCCAAAGTGATATGTACACACACCGTGATGTCCATGCATCTGATTATCTAGCAAAATGTTCGTGACGTATTCCTACTCCTCATTCAGATATATGTGTCTGCGACCCGAACCATGGCTGACACTCTTGCACCTCGTGAACATGAAGTGATATGTACACACACCGTGATGTCCATGCATCTGATTATCAAGCAAAATGTCCACAACGTATTCTTATTCCTCATTCAGATGTTCAGGTCTGCTACCCGGACGATGGCTGAGACTCTTGCGCCTCATGGCACCAAGAGGATCAGACCACATCATCACAATTGGTAGTCTCCGTGCATGTGGCATATGACCTCCAAGGATCGATGGAGATGCTTCATGAACGCCTGATGCTCTCGCACCTCATGTCACCACTGGGATTAGGCCATATCATCGCAACATCTGGTAGTTTCAGTGCATCAGGCGCACAGCCTGTTGAGAGAGATCACCTTTTCTAGCTACTTTTACTTAACAGTGTTAACACTCAAACGTTTGCGGGTGATACCAAGCTGACGAGTGACAAGCAACTCAAATGGAGAGGTATGCGCATCCATCAACACATGCCCAAAATTCTGTCAGCATAACTCCTGAGGAGTCCAAACGTCCGGTCCTCAAAACCATCTGACCGGGAACCCGATTCATCCCCCTCACTCAAATGTCGCCATACATCCTGTCTCAGCCTCTTCTGGCTAAGATCAACGACTTGCCGGTGGAAAAGGAACCGGACCGATGGTCCCCAGAATGGACACGGCGTGAGAACCATAAGGACCTGTTCAGGATCGAACCAATGACAGATCAGGTAATGGAACAAAAAAAAAAAAAAAAAAAAAAACGAAAACAGAATATTGACTTTTAGTCCACACCTCTAATGATCAGGATTCGTGGCACGTACTCCGAGCAGACAGTTATCAAAACTCTCTGAGAAAAAGGTTCTCAACGTCTCATTCATTATGTTCATTTCTCTGGGGAAACACCAGTTGTTGGCCATTCTGACCCATCGATGGAGCTGATTTCCATCCACTCACACCAGTTGTTGGCCATTCTGACCCATCGATGGAGCTGATTTCCATCCACCCGACAAATGGATGACGCCGCTGGCAAGGGTACATTTCACAGAGAAATTTCAGCCTTATGAGCCATGCTCCAAGAGCCAAGTCATAACTGCCAGCAAGCTGCCGGAACTCAGCCTTGTTGGCAGGGCACCGTTTTCGATGGCTTGCAAAGTAAGTATATGCGAAACCCACTGGGTCCATCCATTCGATTGTGATTCACAGTAGTGTTGACATCGTACCATGTACGGGAGATCAAGAGCTCAATTCCCCAGAAGAATGGCGATGAAAGACAGCAACATTTGCATTGACCGTGCTAGAAGGCAATGTGAATGAATCGCCGAGCAACAATTCCATGCCCAGTCCAAATCCGAGTGATTTATATATACATCCACCGACGGACGGTGAAGAGAACACACCGCGCAGCATCCATCAAGCAACATCCAAAAGCCTGTCCATCATGTCTGTACGAAATGTTCTTGATTTTTTTCAATCACCTCGTACAGGCGTTTGTCTTGTGCTACCGTCTTCACCCGAAGAGAACGCACGGACATTATGGCTGTATTTGGGGCAGCCTTCAGTCCTGATGCAGCGATAATGACAGGGCATTCTGTCCGGGTGACCCATAGCAAAAGCCCACGCCCTTAGGCTCTCAGGTAAGCAATCCAATAGACGTATTCCAAGAAATATAGACACAATGCACAATGTAAGGCACTCAGCGCTCTAGGAAATGAAGGGAAAACCACCACATTCCAGAAGCGATAGGTTCCCACATATGAGTGGTTGGGCACAAAGCGCCCACATAATCGTCTGCTTTTTCTTTTGCTGTATGTAATCATCTACTTACTGCATACTCACACTCATTTCAATCAAGAATACGATAGAACATACGTTGCCATATTCCCCACCCTCAGTAGAAACAAAGGGGAGCAACGTCCAAGCTTGCAAATGACGTAAGATGATACAAAAGCAACACAAGTCCACACCACCTGACGTGCATATTCACACTCAAAGGTTCTGGGTGTATCCAAGTTAATCCCACCCAATTTACCGCCGATGCTGAATGTAACTCACCTCAATTACATCTGGATTGAAATCTACGATGCCCTGGTGTGAGCATGCACTGTCTGGCTTCCAATCCTGCCAGGTGTGAGCATGTGCACTATCTGGCTTCCAATCCTGCCACTAAAGTGGGGCAGACCCTCACCTTCCAGAGGGGTTTTGACAGTGACTACAAAATCTATACTGTGCCAACTCTGCCAAGGGATCCAGAACACAAATGCGACAACAGAAACACTGCAGCCCACAGCACACTGGTTTCTCCCTGCCAAACCCTGGCGAAAACACGGCCAGAGTAGCCTGAACTGACGCAGGTTACAGCAATCAGTCCCACATTGTGAATCGCTCTGAGACTCCACAAACCGGTTTCGTCCAGTAGCTTTGGCACAGCTGAGCCCCATATCAGTACCAGCCATAAACCCTCTCAGTGGGATCTAGCAGTCGTGGCACCACCTCCAGCAACAGCTTACGAGACAGTGCCCAAGAGCAAAGTGACCCCTCCACAGGTCAGCAATAGGGGGTTCCCACCTTATGTAAGGGATTGCTCTGCGGACAAGCCTAGTGGAGAGCAACCTCTGAGACTGCACAAACCAGTTTCGTCCAGCAGCTTTGGCACAGCCGAGCCCCGTATTAGTACCAGCTTATAACCCTCTCACTGGGATCTAGCAGTCGTGGCAGCAGTTCGAGCAACAGCTTGCGATACATTGCTCGGCGGACAAACCTAGTGCAGAGCACTCACCCTTGGCATTGCCACCCCCATCAGCCCCACCAGAACCATATCACGTATCCAACAAACTACCATAGCAAACAACGGACCAGGGGAGACCGCAACGAAAAGCGCTTGGACACCAGTCAGGAGGACTCCGTGCTTACCACATTTATACTAATGCCAACTGTGTTGTCATGTCCGCCATCCACCAACTCCACAAAAGAGCATGGTTGTGCCAGACCTTTCATCGGACACTCACCGAGTCTCTATACACTGACTCCAGAAAAGCAACATGGTTGTGCCCTTCGTTGGACATTCACCGACTCATCAGGAAGTCACAAACCCACAATCTAACCAGGATGCATTTGACCGATGGTGGAAGACTCGCCACGTCACGTCATGTTGCACTGCGTTCGTTACATCCCTGAGAAAAGTGGTCAACTTTACTCAGACCAACCACAATCTTGGCAGACCATGGTCCAAGAAACTATTTATAAACACCGAACATGGATTGGAAGAGATAGCACGGAGGAGTGATAAGTTTACGTCTGCTTCATGCCACCAGGCAACCACGCATAAAATAAGAAAGCTGTGTGGTATTGTTCCCTGTTTTCCTTTCCTTTCCTCTATTTATCTCCTCGCCCTCTCATATTGCTGTGTTTAGCATCAGCTTTGATATCAATGAAGAGTCTACCATCAGCAGAAGTTGCATTACCTCAGAGTTAAGTGGGACCGTCACCGACGAAACAACATGAACTGGGAAGAGTTGCACTGACTCAACAGTATGTAGGCAGGCCAATACCAACAAGGACTGAAATTAGGAGATGTTGCATTTCCTCTTCAGAAAAGAAAAATATCGAGACTCTGCATTCACTGCATGCTGGCATGGTTGAAAGGGAAAGAGTGGACGATCAGAGCATGCCAGACTTGAGAAACTGCCATGACCATTGATACCAGAAGATGACATGCACATGAGGTGCATCATCACCCCAGCCAGTACAGGTTCCCCTCTGCAACCTGGATGAGAACAAGCCAAGGCAGTAGCAAGTTGTCTGCAAACCAATTGATCACGATTCGAGGGGCAACCAGTGAGCGAGAATTTCAACCCTTCCTCATCTTTCTCATCTTTATCATGGCGCATTCAGAACAAAGCCACAGAAGCAGCTGCTTATCATTGTGAACGAGCAACCAGCCAGTGCAGGTTCCCCTCTGGAACCCGGATGAGAACAAGGCATGGAAGTAGCAGCCAATCGATCACGATCTGAGGCACAATCATTGACTGGGAATATCATTCCTTTCTCATCCTTCACGACCAGACATCAAAGTGGATTCAGAACAAAGCCACAGAAGCCGCTGCTTATCCTTGAGAACCAGCAAAATATCTGCTGCAATTACAGCAGTTCTTTTCACTGTCTAATCAGAGAGGCAGCCTCCCTCTCTCATTGGCGCCACTCCATAACAATGGACGCAACGGACAAGTGAGGCCAGGTCAGCGAAAGCAGGCCACACAATCACATCATGCATGCATATATCAGTGCACATAGCTGAGGATATATCACTCGAAGGCAGTGTTGCATACCCCGACAGTCGGTGCCCTTGACTGGTCGGCACCTACCAGTCGGGGGTTGTCGGCACCCCGCAAAAAAAAAAAGAAACCAATAACCCCACCAACACCCCCATGCCCACCCCCAATACTCCCATACAACCCCCCAACACCCACAAAACGCCCCGCCAATACCTCCCATACCACCCGTATACCTCCCTATACCCCCCTATAACCCCCCTATATATCACTGCACATAGCTGAGGATATATCACTCGAAGGTAGTGTTGCATACCTCGACGGTCGGTGCCCTTGACTGGTCGGCACCTACCGGTCAGGGATCGTCAGCACCCCGCAAAAAGAAAAAAAAAACCCTATAACCTCGCCAATCCGTGCTATACCACGCCTATACCTCCGTATACCCCCCTATAACCCCCTATATATCATTGCACGTAGCTGAGGATATATCACTCGAAGGCAGTGTTGCATACCTTGATGGTCGGTGCCCTTGACGGGTCGGCAACTACCAGTCGGAGGTCGTCAGCACCCCGCAAAAAAAAAAAAAAAACACCCTATAACCCCACCAACACCCCCTATACACCGCCTCCCAAAGCCCCCCACACCTCCTATACCCATCCCCCAAAGCCCCCATTCCTCCCCATACCCCAGCCCATCCCCAAAAGTTTCTCAGTGGATTTGGGCTGTCCTCAGCAAGCGCAGTACAGCTCCCAACTTAGATTTGAAAAACAATCAGTGGATGGCTGTTTTCTGACTGGTTGACAGACCGCCGACCAGTCGGCTCTACTGGTTGGCTGCAAAATGGTTGGTGGTTGGGGTCGGCGGTCAGCAGGTATGCAACCCTGCTAGAAGGTAAGAATTGCACCACCATCCTCGTGACATAACAAGTACCCTCCGAGCTGTGCGAGATGGTCGCCCATCACACGGCTCTCCAACCTGAGTACTCCTCAGTTGCAGCACCGTACTTATAGAACCCACATGTACCCAGTACGCAGCTCAAACTTTGACGACGACAGCTGGCATTAAACGCAACATGCAGTCATACAATTGAAGACAGGCGATCTCATTCATAGCAGGACAGCAAGTGCACCGGATTAATGAAATACGTTTGTAACATCGTTGACTTGTGGAGGCGTAAGTGCCTGTGTCCCGAGACCTTGATTGCCCGTACTCGTAGGCTGGAACAGATTTCTTCCCTGTAGGCTGTATTCAAAAATAAAGCTGGATAGGGGATGACATTCACATACATGTGGGATGTACTTCAGCATTACAGATTTGCATATGTAAACTCACCGGAGCAGATCAACATCGGATCATCATTTCCTTAGCCAACACCCTTTCCCACAGCTTGTGACCCGGATATTGAAACCCCGATCTTGCTTCCCATAACAGGCTTTCCCAGACAGCATTCTGATAAGATAGACTCCGACCCCGCCTTGAGCAATTGACGTTCAAGACATTGATGATGAGAAATTGTGGCTTACGTACCATGCAACGCTGACCCGGAATGTCATCTCGCTCTCCGAAATCCCCGATCTTCCGCACTGCAGGAGATTGCATAAACCTCATATGAGTCATATCACCAGAGAGCGAGCCCTTCCTCAAGGGCATGGAGGAAGATGAAGGCAAGGAAGATGAAGGCACGTCCCCAAAGAAGGCAGGAGCACTTCTGGCACTCTCTCCGCTAGTGGTGGTGCTCCCATTTTCTGTTCCTCTTGACCAGCTATGCCGCCCGCCACCAAGCCCTCGGCTGTACCCTCCAACCCCGCCATCCGATCTCACACGGTCCCTGAACCTTGGTGCTGGGGGCCTTACCCCTGCTGGCCCTGACACGGGCGAGTGAGGTGATCCTGAGTCACTCTGGTCAAACGCCTACACCAAGGAGAGCAACTGTCAGACTCCTCAGTTCCTGCGCCCTTCCCTGCCCTGCCCCCTTCAGCCCAACCAGTCACCATCCTGACTATGTCTTTTAGCTATGCGCATATACAGTTTCACATACAAATACAGTGCAACAGCCCTCTTCTCGAGAGGGATATCGACCCAAACTTGCAAACATCAGCTTGCAAAACTGGAATATATTCGCCACGACATATCATGCCTCAGAGAACATACACATACTTCACTTTTCTTCTGCTCAATACATGTGCACCGTCTGCACATGTCATGGCGATCACTACGCAGCATCTGCATTGGGAGAGTTTGATGGTAAATGTATACCATAGACACCAAATTGCCTCATCTAGCCATCAACACATTCAATCATTATCTATGGTTGGATTCATCTATCAATCCATTGCATCCATATATCCATACATTCATCTTATCCTTTCCTCATGGAGGTATTTCCCAGCAATCCCTCCCCACCCTTGATCTGCATCTCAAACCCAAGGTGACTCGAAATGGTCTGTGTCCATCAGTAATGGCAAGTAAGAGTCCTCCTGCCCTCTTGGACCGGCAAAGAAGTTTGCACACTCTGCACAGGGGAGACAGCGGAGACAGTGGAGACAGCGGAGGCAGCGGAGCAGTTCCTCCCAAATTTGCCGAAGGCGCCATCGCCGCTGCCAAAGTCCAAATCAGCCAGATCATGGTTCAAATGGCAGTCCCACCTGAATGGTTCGAGGCTTTGCAAACTGTATTTTCCCACAAATGAAGAAGGCAACAACCTCTGCCCCCCACCGATTTCACCAAAAGATAAAAAAAATGTACGACAAATGAATCAAGCTTCGCCTTCAGATCGTGAGCAAGCTCCATCCCTACACATGATGTCTGAAACAGCCTCCGAACAAGGAACACCACCCATCCAGTACAGAGCTCAGCTAGACAACAAGGAGCATACTTACTTAACTTTATCGAATTTGCACTGGGATGTCGAATACATACTGGGACGTCGAGTATATACTGGGACGTCGAATATATACTGATGCGTCAAGTATATTTTAAGCAACAAATATATTTTAAGCAACCCGTTTGAAATCCGAAGAGCATCGCCTGTTCAATGTCACAACTGGTCTCCTCAAGAAAGTCCGGTTCCCAGCAGAGCACCCAACCTCCTGTGAAGTTCGAAAGTGTGTCAAGATTCTCTGCGATCTAGATAGAGAACCTCCACATTAGCATGAAGGAAGAGGGACTGTGTCTTTTGGTCCATTCACAACACTCAAGGGGGATGGAATCAAAACCAGACAAGGCTGATGAGGACTCATAAAGGGGTAGCGAGTGTGTGCGAATGAAACGAAGGATAGGTACCAGTCGTGTGCCCGATTGAAGAGGTGGCGACGTGACAAAATCTTTCCCGTCTCCACACTTGCACACTCCTTACCAATGCCTTGAACCACCACCGTCCCCTGCGCGTCTTTCCCTTCTCCCCATTTACACACTTCTTACCACTGCCTTGAACCACCACCGTCCCCTGCGTGTCGCTTGGGCTGGTAACAACCAAGCAGTGGCCTGCCAAAGCGGCAGAGAGGATTTGTGGCCGCCTCCAATTGCCATTGGCTCACCATCTCCTTGGCCAACAATGCCTGGTGGCCTCCGCAGTTGCAACGAAAAGTACCCCCGACCGCAGAGGTGTGGAACTCCGGGGTCAGAGTAAAACAGCTCGACAAAGGGGGTTTCAAGAGAATAGTGCTCACAGCATGGAATTCGACGATATAAATTTACTATAAAATCTTTTGAACAGAATTTTGCAGTTCACACCCAGCTGTCAGCATGGTCATGAACCCGACAACCGGTACACTTAATGTCTGGCATCCACATACCAAATGTCCAGAAGCCAAGAGATTCAAAACAAGTGGCATGGTAAATTAATGCCAAAGAATTTTTCATTATGCACAGATACTGGGGAAATTACACGCAAATCACAAGTACATTGCACTCCCAATGACCAGCATCGACTCCACGACAAAGCAATAAGCAGACACAAAAGAGCATTGATCACAAGGCACTGACAATATTCCAGTCGTTTGATACAGAACCAATGCCCCTTCCCTCTTCCAGCCCTTATAATAAAAGCAATTGAAAAAAAAAAAAGACAAAGAACAAATGCCCCTTCTTCGCATCCAACAATCAGAACCAACCGGCCAATCTGATCATCTCGGCTTACTGCTAGCGTATACTGGAAAAACTCTACTCCTGCTCCCTTGATGCCAATGATGCACTGCTGGAATAAGTATCCATATATTCTTGTTCTTTTTTCCTTTTTTTTTTTACCTGGCATCTATATCTTTTTGTTTTCTTCAACCTGGCAACGGCATCCGCACCTTCTTGTGTTTTCTTTTTTTTAAAGCGGGCATCCGCATCACTCGCTATTGTTTTCGGCATTCCAAATCAGAAACCCATCTACCCATAAAAGACTACTACAAACTTTCATACCCCGCACCTTTCACCGCCTAAAAAAAAAGTTGCAATGAGCCCTATTTTGTGCTTCGCCATTCTGAAATTTTTGGGGGAAGGGCCTGCGGAAATCGAAATTTCGGCTGCCCTTACCCAAAAGAAAAGTTTGGGCCGCGGGCGCGGCCGGTTTGCGAGCTTGTGCGGTGAGTTTAACATTTTTGCTGAGTTGGGGGTCATAAGAAATTACAAAACCCCTACTTTTTTTTCGGGGGGGGGGACCTAATTTTTCAAGTGCGCTGCACTTCGGTGCGCTGCGTGCGGTGCGCAATTCGTGCGCAAATCAGCGCACCGAGGTGCGCCGCAACTATGGTTCAGAACGATATTATTCTCTTCATCTGAAGGTATTTTAACAGTTCAGGGGTGCACGAACTGAGCTAGGCCCGTTATTAGGCGACTACCCCTTCTTGCCAACTTGAGAATCGGTCTACATGGTACTTCACACCAGGCAAAGCTTTGCCTCTACCTCCTCTAACGGGTTTGCGGCTTCCAACTGGTTCACCAGTTCTGGACAAAACAGAACAATGCTTTAGAAAAGCCTGGAGGTAATGAATCGGCGTATAATTCGATATTCTAGCAGAAGATTCATTCCCATTTTGCAAATTACAGGGTATACTCCCTTGGCAAGGCCTAAAAATTGCTAAAATAGCATACCAGCGTTGTCCAAGCAGCCATGGCGAGGGCCCACAAGGTCTCTCTACACGACGATGGATAAGATATGGACTGTTTCAAGGTTGGAAATGCAGTTGCATCCATTCCCTTTAGGAATGCAGTCCTACTGTCCTAGTCATTTGCACCAATTCCATAAATACCACGCCGAACTGCACACTGATTGGAGGGAAGCAAGATGCAGATACAAATCGTGTTAGAGGCTCCCTACACTGCCATCCCCTACTTCCTCACATGCACAAAAAGTGTCAAAAACAAAAAAAAAAAACATAAGTTAAAAGAAAAAGATGAACCAGGCGCAATATGCCTCTTCAGAATTTCGAGAGCAGCTGACAGTCCACAACCTTTTCTTTTTCGTTTTCCCTTCCTTTCAATGTGGCGGCCCAATGGACCACAGATCAGATACCACACTTGATCTTAGCCAAAAGAATGAGAAAGGTATTTTTTTACGTAATTTGTGGACCATTTCACGGTTTATACGTGAAATCCCTTCGCAGCGGCCATGCTCGTCTTCTGTGTACTGTTCCAATGTTAATGGATGTCCCAAAGGACGACAGTCCGCAACCTAAACATCATGGTAGGGAATTACGTAGCACCGTGTTCACGTTCGGAGGCGAAAGCGAACATGTTTGCCCGAACGCGAACAAGCGCCCAAAAACCTCCGAACACGAACATAAAGATTTTAATTAAAGAAAAAAAGGTTCTCAGAAAGATCTGAAAAGAATACATGTCATGTAAAATAACAATACAAGCAACTTTTGCCGAGGTGTCATGTTCAAATTCTTAGCCAATCAAGAGTTAAAAATCAAAAACCGATTTCTTTTTTTTTTTTCTTTTGCCGAGGTGTCATGTTCAAATTCTTAGCCAATCAAGAGTTAAAAATCAAAAACCGATTTCTTTTTTTTTTTTCACGAAAAAAGTTTATGTTCGCCGGAACATGTTCGCGAGCTGTTCGCGCGAACGCGCGAGAACACGTTCGCACGAATGTGGAGGGGCGCAAACACGTTCGCTGTGCTACACAGGTAGGGAAGAAAAAGTTAGGGGGAGCCATTCTTTTTTGGTGTGTGGGCAAGAGAACACCTGTGCCATCCGAACTGCTTTGAGCGATTATTATATTTTGGGGGTAGACTACAAACATCCATTTGAAAGGCCAGGAAGGTTTGAACGTGTACCTCGCTGCCATCCTGTGCACCCGATGTGCTTGTATCGCTCAGTGTACTCGACACAGGTTCATTACATCGGTCCCGGAGAGAGGGACCATCATCATCGCTGTCAACACTATGATCTTCACACTGCAAGGCTTTGGGTTGAATCTCCTCCTGCACACACATTTTATTCGATATTTCAGGAAAGTAAATCAGGCATAGTATGAGAGAATAGAGGATGACAGAAAAGTGGAAAAGCACAGAGGGGAGTTTAACATCTGACGGGAAAACAGACGTTGCGGGAAAGGACAACCCACATCTGAAATCAGACTTCCCTCTCCAGTCCATACATATTTCTCTCACATAAAACACAATCCACACACAGATTGGACTCAACAATCCACCCCACAATCTCCTCATGGCATCGCACAGAGTGCTTTCTCTCTAGTTTGGAGAACAAGAAAGAAAAGAGTGAGCAGACGAGGCGGGAGAACATGGCGAAGAAAATAATAACAAAGACGACAGAGAATAGCATCCTGCTGAAGATAAGTACCTTGCTGGCAGGGTCTAGTGAAACACTGAGCAAGGGATCATGGCCAAGGTACACCAAAGCATTGCCACAGACAGACCTTTCATGGTTTCTCTTTTTTTTCCCTTTTTTTCTCCTTTTTTTTATGAGATGAATTCCACCATCGTTACAGCTTCTGATTTCCTGATCAGGACTGAAAGCATTGATTGCTTCCCATAGGAAGGATCGACTGTCAGGCCCTGCTAGCATTAAACCACCAGTACTTGGCCCAGCTATCTATGCCGAGCCTGAAAACGGCCTGCGCGCCGTTTCGTGCCGACCCGCCAGGGCAACCAAAAAAAAAAGTTTTGGCTCGCGGCACCAGCCTTTCAGGTCGGGTACCCCGGGCCCCCGGAAGTTGCATGTAACGACAACGCCCCGCGGCCAATGTATGGGCCAAGTACTGGTGGTTCAAGTACTTCCTATCCTTTTTTCCTTTTTTTTTGTTTTTCAGAAGGCTCCTTTTCAATTCTGGCGAGCATCAGCCCGGTTTCTATTCCACCGGCAAGTTGTGAAAATACCCGGGTTTACAACTTTACACACTCCAACAGTTCTCCATATTACATCTGGGAGACCCGAGTGGGCGGCGTTGATAACTTCGTCTTCGAAGGATTTACCTCCCCTTACGCCTGCTTAATTTAGCCTCAACGTTTGCTTGGAAGTTGGAACTAACTCCCTGTAGCCTTCGTAAGAGCTGTCCATACTGTGAAACCAGACAGCACTGATTGCCTCCAATGGAAGGATTAATTGTCATGGCAAGCTCTAGTGGAAGAGATGACGGTGGCGAGAAAAGGAGGGAGATGACCTTCGTTCCAACTTCTCTTCTTCTCCTCTTCTCAAGCTGATGGTGGCAAGAAAAGGAGGGAGATGCCATTGGTTCCAGCTTTGTATTATTCTTCTTCGTCGTCTTCTTCTTCTTCACCTCGTTCTTCTGCTTCCTTTGTCTCCTTCTTCCTGAATTGCGATAGATACCATCGTCTCGTTTTTCAGATTAGCCTTACATGAGACGGGCAGGATCATAGTAATAGGTAGTCCAAGCCCAGCTATATCAGGTATCTCGGCTCTCACGCGCACACACACACACACACACACACACACAGAGTGAACACTAGAAGACTAGCTACCCCCCTCCACCAACCTGGTGGGAAACAAGGGAAAAGAATAACAAGTAGAGTCAAATCGAGGAAAGGAACTGAGCCTACCAAGTTCAACTTCAGGCATAAGCAAACATACATTATTCATAATCAGGGCTCTGATGTTTCTGGCAACTCACCGGGAATACTCTCTCGTACTCCTCCATCATAAGTGTGACAATTGCATTGGCCTGATTTGCTGCAGCAGTTGCTGCGATCAACGATGACGACCCATCGCCACTGTCATCACTGTCATCGTCCGCTGTGCAATCCCCTGCAAGCAATGGCCGAAGTAGTAGTGGAGCCATGCACGCTGCCACGGCTGGTTTTGTCATCCGGTTGACCGCAGACTGTGATGACACCTTGATCATCATTTTAAGAACTCTGCAGAAAGTATCATCAGACATCCACAAAAATCATCGGCCTTGGTTATAGCCAGATGCAGTCAAATCATTCAGGCTTCCCAAAATGTCTTAAGGGAGGTACAACCAGATTTGGTTCGCATCACAGGGGTTCAAGAGAAAGTGCACCCAGATCCCAGACAGCAGCCCACACCACATCAGTTACTAACAGAATTGCGCATGGTTGTTACGGGCAGATTCAGTTGAACCGCACAGGCTTCATCAAACATCTATATAAGCCTATTATAAGGTACCTTCTTTTCTCGGAGTCAGTTCCCATATCAGCGGAGTGAACACCAGAGTGAAAAACAGTTCACTGTAAGGTCCTTAATCAAAAACCATCTTTGCATTAGTCTTTGTGTCGTAGCTTTTGGCCAAGTCAAAGCTCAGGAGCTGAAATTTGGGGTGCAGGGTCCAAGAAGCACGAAGAGCAGAAGTCCTCAACTCAATAGCCTAGGGGGGTACGACCTGCAAACTGAGTTACCAGATGTTGAGCAAGTCAACCCAGGTCCCCGGAAAGTAAGAAGCCGGGCCTTCAATGGGTCCAGCAGTCGAAGAGCCGAAGATTTATCCAGAAGTCGACCACCGTCAGATACCAAACACAAATCCAGAGGCCCAGAATTTATTTCCACAAATATCCAGGGCCTACAGGAACAAGGATAGAGATGGCGGGCATAAAGAGAGGACTTAGACTATGGAGGTAGAGGGAGAAGGACCTCGAATATGAACGTAGATGGCAGGGAACAATACAGGTACAGCAGGAAGGAGGGACAACCAAAGGAGATCTCCATTTGGCTACGGCAGAGCTCCCTTCCGATGAAGAAAGTCCAAAAATCATCCTGAGGACAGGTTGGCATGGCGTCCTGAAGGTCCCCTGTTGGGCTGCCGGTTGGGTATCGACTTCATCCGGGTGTCAGGCTATGGCAGAACCACATGGGAGGGGCATCGTCATAGTGCTTTGTCATTTGGACACAAGTTGGCAAGCCCGTCACCTTATGCCAGTCGTTCAACCTAACTCTCACCTTCCCTCATAAAGTTGCGGAGACCACCCGGTCCTGTCATTCAAGAGTAAAGTATTTACAGAGTGCACATCATATTCACCACTCGAGGCACGTGCACCAGCTAACCTCCCCACCAAGCCCTGTGATATGACAGGGCTGACAGGGCAAGTTTACCCAACCCAATGGGGTGTCACCCCCTTGGGAGGGGTATTCCCACCGAGCTATCAATGCACATGCAGCAGCTTTTACATGCTGAGGCAGATGTGCATCAACCGAGGCTGATTGCTCCTGCGTTGATGTTATATATGAGATATTTAGCACTTTGGGGTGCTGAATCTGCTGATCTCCCGTACCTCAGAAGCCAACAGTGGACTAGAGTGTCCAATTGTCTTGCTTGTAAGCACTTATCTTGCACCCTTGTCAGCCGTGTAACCTCACTCCATCATTGTCAAACGGGTATGTACTGCCCTTTCAAACAGCCAACTTCCCTGAATTCCGTTGCGGCATAGCCAGACCATCAGCGTGGTGGACTCCGAACTGCACTTTCAGCATTGTCTCGCATGGATGGCGAGCAACGGATCTAACAGGCCTGTTCGGAGTCTGTGCACCCACACGGCACTCCCACCGCCCTACTGTGTCGTCAAGACATGGAGCCCAGTGTCACAGCCGATCTAGCGTGTGACAGGTGATTGTCTTCAGTCCAGGACGACCTGCATCCATAACACCGAACTCCGTTCAAAGCAACACCCTTTTTCACGTAGGAGAGGAGCCAGGTTTAGAAACTCTGTACTACAGCGCCTAACCACATAAGTTGCCCCCCTAACACCACCTTTGAAACATCCACCTTACTGTCGTCTGAGAGAAAACCCCAGACATCAAACCACCTCGCATCTGCCACAACTCTGCTACCAATCGAGAGAACAGATCTGCAAGCTCCAAGCCATAGGAGATGAGAATGCCTGTGCAGGCATTCGTGGTTCGGTGAGTTGTGCATCTCCTATGGCTTGGAGCTTGCAGACGTGTTCTCTCAATCGCAGACAAGAGGCACTCCTCAGCTCCATATACATCCATCAGACATAGTACATAGTGTAGCCCACTCACCTGTCAAAAGACGGAGGAACTTACGGATCTCCTGAATCCAGTTATCACACAACTGAAAAACACACACAACTCTACATCATTCGACCAATTTGTAATGACCTGCCAAACACGGACTGAGACACACAGCTGATTTCTGAGTTTTGCTCATGGAATGTATGCCTTTCTGAGTTTCCTGCCTGTTGCTGAGTTTTTTAAGTCTGTGTATTCATGCTTGCTGGACTGCATGCCTGCCTGAGTGCTTGTCGGCTTGAGTGTGGGTGTGACCCGCAAGGGCACTTGTTCATTCAGAAGGGCCAGTACTTACCTGTGGCCGTGACATTGAGGGTTGCAGCGGGGATAACACTCAAGTGGCGGGGAAAGAGGCGCGCGACAGAGCAGTGGAAAACACGCAAGTAGCAGGTAGGCCGGTACCACACCAAGTAGAGGTAGATGTGCCGGGTACTTGAGGCCGAGCAGAAGAAGACATTGACAATATCAGTGTCTGCAATGATATTTCCCTCCGGTAGGAAGGAGGTGGCGGTTGCTTGGAGGCCACGTAGGTTAGGAAGTCACTCGCCAAGAGGCAAGCAGGCCGCTATATCTCCAGAAGGAGCAAAGTGCTGCTCATTATCGGTGTGCAAGTTTGGCCACACACTGGTTGGAGCGCTGGCTGGGCAGCGCTACGCATCAGGAACAGCGCTGCTGGGGAGGAGCAAGGACAGGAGGAGGAAGAAGACCAGCACTAGGAGGGAGGAGCGCCAGAGGTACTTATCTGGCTATGGTGGATACTGCATCTGGAAAGCCCCCGTTGGGGTAGAGCTGCACCAAGAAGCTTCAAGGCAGAGTCAGGCATGGCGGCCTGAGCTAGAGCAGCCATAGCTGCTTTGCGTTGTCCTTTGCACAGCAGGTAGTCCGCCACAGCCCCCGTTGCCCTGGTAGTTCGCCATAGCCTCGGGCATGAGAGGAGGAGGAAGAAGGGTGGCCATGGCTATGGTGGACCTCATGTGATGCCTGAAGTAGAAGAGGGATTCGGACATTGATTCTGGTTCAGCCTTTTAACATTATTATTATTATTTCTTGTTTGAAAAAGGAGGAGGAGTGGTTGGCAAAAAAGAAGGGACTTCTCACTAGTCTTTGCTGGTGTACATCTTCTCCTTCTTTCTTTCATCTTCTTCTTCTTCTTTCCCTCTCTCTCCTCTCAAGTTCATTCATTTCTTTTTGCAATTGGACGGCATTGTACTTTCTAATGAATGTGTACGTCAAAATTGGGGAGGATAACAAATCAGTTAAACCTTCCATATTCTTTCCATCCTGATCTGACAGATCAACCAGCCTTCATTGACACTCCTCCCTCCCGCAGTTCTACATCCTGCTGATTGATTTCATTCCTTCATGTCGACCAGTCGGATACGCATCTGCAGAAATGTTGGGGGAGCGAGACAGGAGCACGCTGAGGTAGGAGAACGGCAGAATGGGGGAGAGTTATTAAAAAAAAGGCCCATAGGAGGGAGAACGGACAGAGCAAGACAGAAGGAGAAGGACACTCAACAAGGACAAAGATCCGATCGAGGGAGGGGGACGAAATATAACGATTCCAGGAAGGAAGAACACCATTCTGCGGAGAATAGGGGGAAACAAGAGGTGGCATGACAAGGAGGTTAAGAGGAAAAGGAGTATGCAATGTGCAGATAAATAGCGAAGAGGAAGAAAGATGGAGGCAGGTGGCGTTCGGTATGCAATGTGCAAATAAATAGCGAAGAGGAAGAAAGATGGGGGCAGGTGGCGTTGGGCATGGAGTGGACGCATAGAGAGACTCGGCCGGTCCTTTCCACAGTCCTGCGCCAGGGAAAACCAAATCCAGAGCAGAATCCCACCTCTGCAATAATATTCTATTCGGCTCTGGAAATGTATCTGCAACAGCAATCTTCATCGCTTCTATTCTCTGCTCCCGTTCGTCCAAACCTACAGTTGCCAAAAGAAGAATGAGACAATCAAAACATATAAGTAGGCATAGACTTCAACACGGTTGACGAGTACCACAAAATGGACGGAAAGTAATCTTACAGGATAGCCATTAAGATCAACAGCATATGAAACACAGTGCTCACGAACAGGACTGCTGCACACAACCAGAACTGCTGTAAATATTCTACCTCTCTTCAGCATTGACGACCTCCCTTTTTTTTTCTCAGCCATAGACCAATCCCAAAAACACACCAAACACTTCATCACATCATGGGTAAACATGACCTCCTAAAAAAAAAAAAAAAAAAACATAGAAGCACACAGAATTTGTCCATAAGGTTCTAAGGACATTCCCACAAGTATTTTTGACTCAACCTTCCCATGTACGTCACCAAATGTATCCAAAATATCTGTGGAAGTATACCCAAAGACAGTCTCAAGAGGTGGTCTCCCTGAGTATGCTCACAGATGAGATTCATTACTGTCGGGCAGATGAGATTCATTACTGTCTGGCAGTGTCGGCAGTTAAGTGCGAGCTAGCTGTCCAAGCACAGCAGAGGAATATTAAGTGGAAAGGTTGCGGTATGACTACATGACGTTTTTTTTTCCCCTTTCTTTTAAAACGTCCCGGTTGTTGTAGAGGTTAGACCAGACTATGCCAGTCACCTTCCGTAGTCTGCCATTAGTTTATCGAACTTATTCCAGCTGGTCTACCGAGGGCAGACATGCTCAGTCGAGCAATGTATGGGGAGCCAAGGATCCGCAAAGTGTTGAAAAGGACTTGAATGGACAATTCAATGTCAGCAAAGCATCAACAAGCAATGTGCATCCAGATACATACAAAAATAGCACAATGTAGCGCAGCGGAAGACTCAAAGATATGACCTGACCGATCTGAGACTGATGCGACATCCCATCATACACCACACATGTGAGAGGGGGAGGAGGGACCGCATACACAGAAGAAAGGTCCCTCCTTGCACACGCACATGGGGGAGATACCACGAATGAGAGATGGGGGGAAGAGGCAAGATGAAGATGGAGGTGAGGGAGAAGGCCAAGATCACGATAGCGAAGTCCAAAAATAGTCCCCTGCCGAATGTCCAATCAACATCTGCCAAAAAATGTCGGATCAGATCCTGGGCACAATGCCCAATGTAACCTCCGTCAGTAACATCTCTCTCTCTCCCTCTGAATAAGGAGGAGGAGGAGGAGAGGAAGGAGGGAGAAGAGATAGGGCGAGACGAAGAAGATGATGTCGTCCTCCTCGCTGTCTCACCTGCAGGTAACTGTCGCCATGTACTGACTGTCGTCGTGGTCCCTGTGCAGGTCACTGGCGTGGCACATAGCCATGGCGCCCAGGTAAGTACTGCCGACGCAGGTATGGCCTCCGCCCCTCTGCCTACCCTGGGCCGGCTGGGTGTGCCTCTGTGTGCCTACCGGTATGTGCCTCAAACGTGTGCCCAGAACGTGGGCCTACATGGTCTGGGACCCGACCGACGTCCAGACCCTGCACCTGGACAATGGAGGCCTGCCTCCTGGTGTACCCAGCCCAAGGCACTGCCTTGGGGACTAGTCCGAAACGACGTCTGAACAGACAAAAATAAGACAGCAAATAAATAAATAAATGAATAAATGAATAAATAAATGAATAAATATTAAAATAAATGAATAAATAAATTAGGCTACCAGAGTGGCCTGGGGTCACTTGCCCGGCCGGGCCAAAAACAATAAAAAAAATAAAAATAAAAAAAATATCTTATATATATATTTTTTTTTCTAAATTTGGTGCAGAATTTCGATGTGACCCTGAGGCAAAAGTTGTTCAGTTTATTTTTCTGCATAACATAGTGTTTTTCCGGATTTTTTTGATTTTTTTTTTTTTTGCTGGGACCTTCCCTGGTCCTTGCACGGGCTGGCCACCGGGACCCGGGCGGCCCAGCTGGAAGCCTAGTAAATAAATGAATAAATAAATGAATAAATAAATGAATTAATAAATGAATTAATAAATGAATGCTGTCTCTAACCGATACCTGCGGCCTAAGGGCCGCCGTGGGCCTCCAGGGCGCGCATCCGAAGGGCGTGCGGCCTGGGGGGCCCTAAGCAACCGGGCCCATGAATTGGGGCCCGTGTGCAGGCTCAGCATGTGACAGCACCATTCCTTACGAGACTCCCTCCCACAACCACTCTCATCATTTCTCCGTGGCCCACCCCTACTCCCAGAATCCTACCTGAGTGTCTAGCACTCAGGATTGTCACCCTCTGGTCATCTCAAGAAGGAAACCCAACCGGATAGCGGTTGTAGGCACCAGGGCTAAGCAGGAACTACCCAGCTCGGCCCTGATTGAAGCACGGTTGGACGAGCCCTGCCATAAGGGTACTTTGAGCACTCACTTAATAGAGACCTCGCCACACCACTCCCGAGTTCACGAAAATTTACGGTAGTGCTCCCGGACGTGAAATCCCACTCGAGAGTGCGTTTTGCCACACTGCACTCGCGAATGCGCTGCTCTCCAAGTCTGAAAAGGACAGTTACCAAACCATACACTTTCTGTGCGAAGCTGTCTCACAGTAGTATGTTTGTCCCATTCACATGCACTCCCGAATTTTGGATGAGCTTGGGGTCCGAAGGAGGTCTCCCGAAGGTGCACTTTTGTAGGCGTGATGCCGAGGTGACTTTCAGGAGTGCACTTGGGGGCCTCATGCTGACAGCTCCCTGCACTCCCAAAAACCGCCAGTTTCGGGAGTATGCCAAGAGGGAGGCATCTACTGGCTATGCAGTGATCTGACTGGCAATTTGAGCAAGCTCGCTTACACTGTCAACCACTGTTGACATCAGCTACTAAATGTACAGTGTGTCCACTGCCCGTTACATTAAGTGGAAAGCACACTGCAGGCAGTCAAATGTACAGAGCATGCACTGCCCATCCCATTTTCATTGTTTAATGACCCGCCAAAACACAGACTGAGAACACTGCGGATTTCTGGGATTTGCCACTGGAATGTATGCCTTGCTGAGATTCCCGCATTCTGCTGTGATTTCTAAGTCTGTGTGTGTATGGGTGCCTGCTGGTCCGCGTGCCTGTCTGAGTGTTTGTTGGACTGAGTGTGTGTGTGAGCCGCAAGGCCCCGCAGGGCCGGTATTTACGTGTGCCCGTGACTTTGAGAGTTGCAGCGGGGAAAACACTCAAGTAGGGGGAGTAGGCCGCAACACTTAGAACAGTGGAAAAACACTCAAGTAGCAGGTAGGCCGGTACCACTCAAGTAGTGTAGAAGCGTCGGGTACTGGAGGCCGAACAGAAGAAGACAGTGTTGGCATTTTTAGAGGCCCAGTAGCGGTAGGTTAGAGGTCGGCCGGTACCTGTCCAAGTGGCCTGAGTCTAGGGCCTGTCAGGACGATATCAGAGCCTGCAATGATGTTTCCCTCCGAAAGGGAGGAGGTACCAGATGCCTGGAGGCCGCTCGGCCTAGGAAGTCACCGCCCAAGAGGCCAGTAGGCCGCTATATCTTCGGGAGGAGCAAGCAGCTCCTCCTCATTTGCGGTATGCAAGGATTGGCGACATGCTGCTGGAGCCAAGCGCTGGACTGGGGAAGCGCTGCCTGGAGGGGAGGAGCAGCTGGGCGCTCAGCCTGGCTATGGCGAGCAGCCTAGCCTGAGGAGGAGGAAGAAGGGGGCGAAGGAGGAGAGTGGCGAGGTACCTACCTGGCTATGCTGGACACCATCTTCATCACCTTGTTAGACACTGCATCTGGAAGGCCCCGGTTGGGGTAGTGCCACACCAAGGAAGGTCGAGGCAGAGTCCGGCATGGCGACTTAGTGAGCAGCGGCATAGCTGCTTTGTGTTGTCCTTTGGACAGGAGTGCAGCGACATAGCTGCTTTGCATTGTCCTTTGCACAGGAGGGAAGAGCCCTTAGTAGTCCGCCATAGCCTAGGCATGTGAGAGGAGGAAGAAGGGGGAAGTCATGGCTATGGTCGACCTGTTGTTGTGTCAGCAGTAAGAGGGAACTTCGGATACTGATTCTGGTTCATCCACTCCTTGTTATTATTATTATTGGATTGGAAGAAGAATAAGATTGGCGAAGTGGAGGAGAAGGAGGAAGGTGGAGAGAGAAGGGGGATTTGTCATTGGTCTTGCTGGTGTACATCTTTTTCTTTTTCTTCTTCTTCTTCTTCTTCTTCATCTTCTTTTTCTTTCTCTCTTCTTTGGTCTCTATCTCTTTGCAAGTGATTTCATTTCTTTTGCAATTGGAAGGCATAGTCTTTCATTGTGACTTTGCACTTTGGGAATGACCAGGATCGTAACAATTGATGTCATGCATGCCCTTCAGGTGTAGAATCCTATGATTTTAAGCTGTCAGAAAGCAGTTCATTGCAGACATTACTTCCCCATGGGGCAGCTGCTGTTTATAAATTCTTTCCCAACCGTTTCTCAATTTATGTGTGTCATTGATACATGCTCAATCGAGCGATATATATAGACAAGGATCCGCAAAGTGATGGAAAGGACTCGAATGGCCAATGCAAATTCAGCAAAGCATCAACAAGCAACGTACATACAGATACATACGAAGATAGCACAATGTAGCACAACAGACGACTCAAAGATATGACCTGACCTGTCAGATACTGACACCACACCCTGTCATACACCACAAGTGTTAGAGCGAGAGGAGGTACCTCATACATAGAAGAAAGGTCCCTCCTTGAGCATCCACATGGGGAGATGCGACGGATGAGGATATGGGGGAAGAGGCGAGATGAAGATGGAGAGGAGGGGGAAGACCAAGATCGCGATAGCAAAGTCCAAAAATAGTCTCACCACCGAATGTCCAATCAATGTCTGCCAAAAAATGTCAAATCAGATCCCGGGCCTCACAGCCCGATGTCCCCTCTGCCTGTAAACTCTCTGTGTCTGAAGAAGAAGAAGAAGAAGAAGAAGAAGAAGAAGAAGAAGAAGAAGAAGAAGAAGAAGAAGAAGAAGAGAAGAGATGGAGATGGAGGGCGAGAACAGCAGGAAGAAGAAGATGATGCCTCCCTCCTCACTCTCTCACCTGCAGGTAACGGCCACCATGTACGAGCTGCCGCTGTGCCTCTGGTGCAGGTCGCTGGCGTGGACTCCATCTATGGCGTCCAGGTAAGTACCGGCGCTGCTGGTCCAGCAGCGTGTCGCCCAAGAAGCGAGCTACTCGAACTGTGTGTCTGCCGTGGCCTGGCCCAGCTATAAGTAGCGCTGGGCCTCGCTGGTGTGCCTCTGGTCCTGGCCTGAAACAGCCTGCCTGGGTCCCTACTGGACGTCCAGGCCCTCCCTGCTAATGCAGCAGGGAGTGTCCGCTACTGGACAAACACGAACCTCGCCCGAAAGGGCCTGATTGCGGACGAAGAAGGCTCAAAACGTGGCCTTTGTCCGAACAGACCGAAAGTCTGTTCGGAAGAACTGCAAGTCCGAAAGTCTGTTCGGAAGAACTGCAAGTCCGAAAGGATGCCTGACGCCTGAACAGACAAAAATACGACAGCAAATAAATAAATACATAAATGAATGCTGCCTCAAATCGAATCCTGTGGCCCTAAGGTCGGTCGTGGGCCTCCAGGGAGCATGTATGAATGCCGTGCGACCTGGGGGCCCCCAGCAACCGTTGGACCCCCGAAACGCGACCCGTGTGCAGGCTCAGATGTAACAGTCATCCTTGTGCAGGGGCGGCCATGCTAATCTTCTCTGTATCATTCCAAATTTAATGGGCGTCGCAAAGGACGGTCTAAGCACGGAAAATGAAAGAGAAGCGGCAGATCTATTTGTTTCTTTCCCTGGCAGTCAGACACATGCAAAGCTACGAAACTCTGCTTCCAGCCTTGTACAACTCCAGTCCCGATTCATTGCAAGACCAGGTGTATACAACTCCAGTCCAAAAGAACATGGCTATCTTCTTCCTTTAGGTGACCAGGAACAAACATTTCCAGGGCTCAGGACGTCAACGACAGACATAGATCATACACAGACCTGAAAGCTCAGTGATTGTTTTCAGACACATCCAGGCTCTATAGGGTCCAGGCACCTCAGGACATGGTTGGATCCCAACTGCACAGAAGCAGATCTCAGCCCTCCAAAGGGCAAAAAGGCGCAGGCATGGCCTGCCAGTGATATATAAAGACAGCCTACAGTCCAGTCCTGACACATTTTGCTAGGCTCATTAAGGCGGCTCAAGCGCTGCTGCAATCAGATTTGTCTCAATTTCACTGGCAACATGCATACATGTAGGTGCCGATGGCAAAACAACTTTGTCGACGCAGAATCAGCAACAAGCTTCTGATGGTGCACTGCGCCCACACTGAAAACTTAGAAATATAGCCTTCGGCCAGGAACCCAGCTTAAGTCAACTCGTCACAACTAACGGCTATGGCCGCCGAGCGCTAGTCAGAATTCCCACTCCAGAACTGTCTCCACCATCAGACACTCTCACGCAACTCACGCACATGCACACACGCATACGACCCTGACTGTCCACATACATACACACACTAAGCTCTATCTGTTGACGTCTGGGCAGCTATGGCCACCGTCGTCTTCCTCCTCCACTACCGGTTATGGCCGCTCACCCTCTTCTTCGTCGGTCACCTGCAGACCTCCAACACACAAGTCACATAAGCAGCACTTCCGCATTTTGTGGAGTCGCATAAGCAGCGCTTTCGCATTTCGTGGAGTCACATAAGCAGCGCTTCCGTCCTCCTGCTTGCTTGATCTCTTTACTATCGAGGGACAGTTTGGTTGGAGGAAAACGCATGATAACCTCCTGCGTTCCTACACACGGACTGGTATGAAACATGATTACTTAGCTTATGTGCAAGGCTGCAAGGTATTCCAGCTGAACAAGCGCTGCACTGAGAGGGAAGGTGGCCATAGCCGCATAAGTTAGTAGTAGAGATAGAGCTCAGTAGCAGCGGATGTATTCAGAGTCAAGATTCTCAAGTAGAGAGACAGGGAGGTAGAGCACATGCATGAAGAAGACCAGGAGGGTCAGACTGAGAGAGAAAACACCGAGAGAGAGAGAGAGAGAGAGTGAGCCAGGGAGAGAAGAGAGTCACCTACCTTAGATGAGGAAGCTGGCATTGGGTTGCTGAATTCTGTGCTGTTGAGCGCTTGGTGACTGGATCTCCGAAACTCTTTAATGTGATAATTTGTCGGAATTTCTCAGCTGCCCATATCTGGACTTTGCATCTCTGGACTCCAGTGTGGATTTTGTGTAATCTCTCAATGTGTGTGTGTGTGCTCAAGGTGTCGAGCAGTGAGGCTCAAAGCAGAATACCGCGATCATGATGTTCTAGTCTCGGTGCTGACTGCGCTGGCCAGCCAGAGGGAACCTTAACAAGTTCCATCGAGTCCAGTGTGGCAGTCTAGGATGGAACGGACGTGGCCACTGGTCAGAAGATGGACATGCTGCCATCGTGAGGTGGCATGAGAGTAGTAGTTAAGGTGGAAAAAGAGTCAGAGGAGACAAAAACATTGTACCTTCCCCTCATACTCCTGCTCTTTTACTTTACACAGATTTATTATTTGACATAACTGCCATCTCATTATCATGCTTCAATTCGAGCATTGCGAATTCGCGTGTGAGTATGATGCAAGCTTCTCACATCAGGTTCTGTACACAGATCAGAAACAAAAATATACTTCAAATCAAGTCCATCTAAATCAACTCCATGCAAGAGCATTGCACAATTCACAATTTCATACAAGTAACTGGCAGCTTTCTGAGATGAGACTTCTCTGAACTCAAAACAATTTCAATGATTCGGTAAGTAGTACTAAATACTTTCTCATCTCAGAAACCCACCACTAGCCACTCCCATAGCTCTACCGGCATATCCAGCTCACAGTCCTACCACACCCACAACGGGCCTCACTCCACTACTCCCCACATGCACAAAAGACAAAAATTATGGCAATGTATCTTTCCATGTTCTAGCGGAGGATTTAGTCTCATTTTGCACATGTGGAGGCTAATGGAGCGATGCCCGACGTCTTACGTGAATGGGCTTGAAAATGCAAGGTCTGTCGTGCTCTCTGCCTTTTGCTGGGGGGGAGGGAGGGGAGGGGGGGGGTCATTTCATTGTTAAAAAAAAATCAGTGAAAAGAATTCCGAAGAAATCACCAAAAGATTGAAAAGAAGGGAAAATAAACACTCCAAAATTTCAAATCATTACACAGGTTGGCACATACGTACGATGGGCTGCCAGCAGAGCAACACAGCACTGTTTTGGAACTGGTGAAGATGGAAGCTCCCTCAAGACATGCTGCCAATAATAAATACAACAACAGAGTTCAAAAAAAACGAAAAAAACATATGAGCAAATATCCAGAATGCACAATCACATTGAAAGCCAGAAAGTTTCACCGTGTCCAGAAAGCAGCATTGCAGTGGTATGAGAGGACTCCATCCCCGGACATGATGGAGTATTTTCAGAAGAAATTCAAAGCGCGCTACAGTGCGCCAAGCACTTCCTCTCCTCCTTACACTCCCAGAGCCCCCATCACTCCTACGGCGAGTAGCGCCCTAGTGACTGTCCCCTCCGTTTCTTGCACTGCTCCCTCTACCCTTCACCCCAATAACTGCATTCTTTTCAGCATCTTCTTTCTTCTTTCTCTACTTCAAATCGAGCTCGTGGCGATTTWYTATATCCTGTATAAGCGTGACTTTTTTTCAACCTTYGGAGTCAGTTCTCTTTCCAACATTTCAGTTCACTCCTCACTTCATTRTGTCCCTGGCTTGAAAGTTTGAACACCTTGTGGTCAGGGATGCATGTTCCTCRTGAACCARGCCGCTTGTCGGCCACCAAATAAATTTAAGAAGGATTATGTTTCCACTTTCTTGCTTGCTGCTTGTTCTGGCCTCTTGTTATTCTGAAATTTGTTCCCAACCTGAATKTTATKGCAGAGAAAGGTTACCTTAACCTTCACCGTRGCTGTAAAATCGARAACATTGTCAGTCTGATACCAAAGCTTGAGACACTTGTCCAGTCTGCCATGCTAGGAGTAGGGCATACYAAACCCCTTTTTTCTGATCTCTGGCCCGAGTGAGATATCTTCTCAACTTTTCAAGTGACTAAGGGGATACCTAACCCTGTTTTCTTTCTCTCATCTGAGTGAGGCATCTCCTCAACTTCTCAGATAAAAGGAAGGGGATACCAGACCCCTTTTCTTTTTTCTGGTCTGGGGAACTTCAAATAAGTTTTTATATACCTGCAAAACAGTGAGTTCCACAGACAAGAGACTGTGCCCCAGCAAGCATGCCCCCGACAATCAATAGTCAGGCAACAAGTAAACAAAATAAAACCCAGAATAAAGTAATAAAATAAAAAAATAAAAGACACCAATGGAGAATCGTAACACTGAAAACCAAATGTCAATGAGAGCTTGCTCTTGCCAAGACCAACATAAGTACATAAGTGCCCAAGCCCTTCTCCCTACTTGGGACTCGGCGCCCAGCCTACTTCCTACACAGCTACTGTCTGCCTACTAATTGACAATGCAACTGTTGACGTCAGCAGCCAACGAAGTACATGAAGATGTCGCCCACTGCAGACCATCGCCACCCTCACATCATCATCATCATCCTTCTCTCTCTCCGTCGACTTACACCCACGTCTTCCCTCTGTACACCCGAAGACCACCTCTACGTCCCACTGTAGTCCAAGCCCAAGCCCGCTATGGAGGCTGGGCTATGGCGCAGCCCTCAGCAGCGTCCTGCTTCTCGCACGACCGCACCCGCACATCACCTTGCCCTTAGCACACAGCAGCACGCGAGCCTGCGCTCCAGCAGCGCCGCCGCACAAACTGGCAAGTGCCTGAATGAGGCTCCAGGCAGCGAGCTCTTTCCCCAGGAGGCTGTGCCTCTGTGGCAGCTGCTGGTTTTTTGCAATACGGTTCAGCATGACAAATGAGACAGCAACATACACGTTTCAGAGAAGAATAGCCAAGCGAACATCCATGGACTAGAACAAGGAGTAGGAAATAGACTAGGGAATGAGAGCACACGATGACACTCGTTTTTCCCGAACACGACCCGACAGGTCAATATAAAATTTACAAATAACCCAGCCTGCCGTAGCCAGCGCGTGCAAAAAATAGTTAATGAAGCATAGTGTCGTCAACATCTTGAAAGAACTGCCAGCTGATGATGGCGCGACCCTACGCCGCGTTTTGACCGGTCGCCACCCGGTATTCATCAGGGGTCATATCACGTCGGAGTTGAGGAGGATGAAACTGATTCATCGTATCTATTTGTAGCTCCATAGACCGCGGAATAGACCAGCCCTGAGGCGTCTACAAAATACCAGACGAAAAAAGAGACCGAGATTAGACCAAGGCGTCAGAAGGGAACAGAAAAGAACCAGAGTCAGGAAGTAGACCAGATTCAGGACCATGCGGTGCGACAGCGGATTTGTTGAACTGAAGAGAACAAAGGGACAAAGCGAACTCGAAACCAGGGCCTTCCTCAAAACAAGACACTAATTCTATACTACAAGTACAGGGTTCAAAGCCCGGAATAGTCACCAACATCTCATACGTAACTCAGCCACCAGAAACCAGAAAAGGACCAAAGGGGACAGGGAGACCAGACCGAGACGTCTGGAAGGAAAGGAAAAGGATCAAAGCCAAGAAGTAGAACAGATTCGGACCCATGCACCGAGGGCACAGCAGCAGAGCAGACTTGAAGCTAGGGCCTTCCTCCGAGTGAGACACCAATTCTATGCTAAAAAACTCATCAACCTCTCAGTTACCCATGTAACCCACCGTATCAACAGCCACCATCCTACGTCGACTGGTCCAAATTTCAAACGGGAGAAAATATTCCCAGCTGCTGGGCCACGTTTGGTTGGGGCTCCCAACTGTCTGTGTATGATGCTGCGATTCTTTCCCAGGGCCTGCATTTCAGGAAAGGCCTGGAAGGCCGTGAAAAATCTTCGCTGCTCGGGCCTGGGTTCCCTCAACCAACTGGCGCATCACAACTGCCTGGACACCCAATACGAAATTGACAGCAATGGGCCTCTCGGGATTCGTTAGGCCCACCTTCACTTAGGGCGGGCACATCTGTATCAGGGCGCCTCAGGCCTGCCGAGGACCCAGATCCGCGCAGTTAGGCCAGCCTTACAGAAAAACTAAGTGCCCCGCTGACGGTTCAGAGAAGCTTGGCCTGCAGTCAGCACCACCTCCAGCAGCAGGTGTACCGGTTTAAGGAACAAAAAAGCAGGGATATCATGATATAGCACATATGCCTGACATACTTGATAGGTATCAAATGGTTGCAAAACACACCCAGTCTAATGATTTATTTATTTTTATTTGGACCAATTCTGGATTTATGCATGTAATCCTTCTGCAGGGGCCGTGCTAATCTTCTGTCTATCGTTACAATTTTAACGGATGTCCTAGACGACGCCCAGCCTGTAGATTTCCCTCGTTTTCCAGAATATTTTTCCATACTTTTAAAGATCAAGACTTGGCGCTGACCTGTGGAGTCGTCTAGACCTCCAAACGTCCTGTAGGATTGAGCCTTTGTAGTCCATCCACAGCATCTCATACGTTGGCGCTGACCTGTGGAGTCATCTAGACCTCCAAACGTCCTGTAGGATTGAGCCTTTGTAGTCCATCCACGTTTTGTAGTCCATCCACAGCTGTGAGCTCTTTGTAAAGACACTACAGCTGACCGATACTATTTCGCCACGCTGGTGTTATGTACCCGATTGAACTTCAATCCACAACGAATTCACACGTTCCACACAAAACCGGAGAGAAGATTTGCACAGCCGAAGCTCAAAATACACAGAGAATTGAAAAACGAATTTCAATTCTGCAATCCCTCATCCTCCTCCAATCAATCCAGAGTACTTGTTCCAAGAATCACAACTGCGTTTACAACAACCCCGAACAACCAGAAACAAGTGTTCAACGAAGTATGCAGGAGTCTTTTTCTTCCTCCTCGCCACCTCATACCCCTGGCTATGGCTGCTGTAGCAGCTGTAACCCCACAGCTGTCACAACGTGCCAATCTGAACCAGCAACCCTAATGATAACAGCGCCAGCTCAGCACCCGCACGGCTGGAAGTCCTGATGAAGAAGGAGACAACCGATCCAGCACTTCGAAGGAGACAAAGTTCCTCGAGAGGAGGAACAGCAGACATGGCTGCCAAGTGGAAGATGGCAGCACTCAAACCCAACAACACAGTCCTGTTGAAGTTCTCATGCAGAGCCGCCAAATAGCAGCAGTGCGATCTTCAACTTCCTTTCCCAACCCCAGCTATGGCTGGGCTTCGAGGAAGAAGATGACCTCGCCCAAAATAGAGCAGCAGCGCTCCAGCAACGGACGGGCAGAGTTTCCCCAGCCAACAAAACGTGAAAAGGCCCAAACCAAATTTCCTGCCCGCTACTTCTACCCTCTGCCTAGGCCTACGACAGACTCCCCCAGCCTAAGGCAGCAACCCAATACTCATCTGCATCTAGACAGAAACAGCAGGAAAAGGGGACCTAGACGTATGACAAGGCAAAAGGAAAAGGCTGAATGGCCTAAGGCTACAAAAAAGAGACTGCTAGTGACAGACTCAAGGATAAAGTCCCATAGGGCTCAAAACTAACAAACAAAACATACAAATTACAGGTCACGGGATCAAGTCCCACAAGGCTCAAAACAAGAAAACAGACTACAAAGCCAAACACTTACTGTACAGCCCCACTGGGAAACTGCGATTTATTGCACTGGAGTTGTCCAGCCTTGCATTCTCTTCTCTTCAGTGCTGACAATGGCCTCGCCTCGTGAATGGCCGCACTGAACCTTTCCCTTTTTTATTTCTCTTTTTATTTCATGAAGACAACCGAGTGCAAGGATTTAGTACCTCGGCAGTTTTGGAAAGGGGCCATGCCCGCCCTAAGTGAAGGCGGGCATGCAAATATGTGCCAATGCCTGTGTATAGGCATAAGAGACCAGGCTGAGGGGCCCAAGCAGAGCCTGTTGGAACCCCTATGTGGGCATGGATCTTCGACGAGGCCTTGTTACGAGTTAGCTCCTCAGCATGCCCCTGTGGGGCCATTTCAGCAACCATGAGCCCACCCGAAGTGAAGGCCGGCCCCTGAATTTCAATATGGCCCGAGTTCGTCAATTTTGGCAAAGCTTTGGTGGGCGCCAGACACATGCCAGTTGGTTACATCCTCTGTACTTGTGAGAAATCAGAAATAATTCATGAGCCTTCTAGGCTCTTCCAGCAGCACAGGCGAAGCAGGGAGAACCTCACGTTTACTC